CTATTTTCCCATCACTATTTAAATGTTTGTTTTAAGTATTTCAAGAGATCACCACTTCTCGGCTGTTTAGTACCTCCCCTCAGTAACAGCCATCCGTTTCCAGCTCTGAACTTCTTAGCTCTATCAGAGCATTTCAGGCCGCATACTAAATTTACAGCCTCCTGGGACATAACGTCTCTTAACACAAATCCATCCAAGTTCGACGGGTTGTTTTTATTCTAGCAAACATTCCTCTTGCTCACAGAGCTGAGGGCAGCAAGCCTCGCTGGAATKTGTGGGGACACATCACAGAAAGCGATATATTTCCTGCCTTGGTTCTTTTGTTCCAATACATACTTTAAGTACAGTCTTTACATGTAAAGCTCTGGGTGAGACAATAACCACCACTTGGTAACTGAACACAGCTCTGAGTCACAGTGCTCTGGAAGTCTTCTATACATCTGAACWAAGAAATTTGAGAAAGTAAAGAAACAAGATTCTTCTGAAGTTAAAAACCCTTTCTTGAGATTTTTAAAAAACAAAGCTTGAGCCTAAGTAAACACTTTAAAATGTTAATTTAYGGCATGATTTAAGAAAAAAATCATATTATCAATGTTTTTGAAGTCACAATAGCAAAAAGGTAAGCTATAAAATCTGAAAAAAACACCTTAGCAATTTATATTTGAAAATAACTTCTCAATGTGATTGCACTCAATGTAACTACAGTCCATGATAGAAGGAAACAGGAACACGTAATCTAACAAAAAGGTGCAACCACCAGCACATCTCCTTAAAATAAAAATCYGTCTCCCTAGCAAATCTTTAAAATATCACTTGTCTTTCAACAGCACACGAACAAAGGTCCACATGCACTACATTAACTCCTTAGAAACATTTAGAAAATTCAGCCCTGCAATTTGTAAGTAGGCACAACCTCCAGCAGCCTGTATGGCCGCAATCCCATGCTTTCTGTGCAGCACTCGTGCCTTTACAGTAACACCTCCCGATACTTAAAGCACATGCCTCTTAAACGACTTAGGGTTACTGAAATTCCACACATTCCACCTGGTCTCTGTCTTCCCAGGGCACACAGGGCTCTGTAGAAGGCAAGCAGCCCAGCTCAAGGAAAGCTGAAGAGCTGACAAGCTGCTACAGGCCTTGGCCAAACCTATAATCATCACATTCTYTGGAATGAACAGTTCCATCTTACCCAACATTAAACAGGCCTGCACCCAGAGGGACCCAGGAGGGCCCTRGATTGCTCACAAAATGTTTTTCATGACCTCTGGACAGAGGTAATGATGAATTCTCTTGGGGAGATTGGGCTGAGAAAATGTCAGTAAACYGGAGGAGCAATTATCATAATTACAAATGAAAATTAAATACAAGGGACAGCTTTGATCAAAACTGATCAGACTGCACGCGGTTTGCATGATCATGTTTTGCTTTTCCTTCATTTTTGTGAACACATCCACGAAGGCCTTCCCCTCAACACTACCCTAAGGGTTGGAGAAAGTTATCTYGGCATCTGAGAAAAATCAAGATACCTTTTACATGGCTCTGTAATGATCCTTTTTTTTGATTGTATGACAAAGAGTGAGTCAGTCACAGGTAATCTCGCATGGCTAAGGAAGGTTGCAGGAAGAAGGCCTTGGGTAAAAAAGTTGACATGGAAGGTGAACTTTGGGATAGAAAGTTGACTCTGAAGCACACTTAAGCTAAATAACTACCCTCTAAATGCTGCATTAAGTATGATGTCTGATGAGACACTAAACTGTCAAAATATTTTACCAGTACCTCCCCCCATGAAGTTCCTTCCACTGAAGAGGAAAAGAAAACTGTTTCCTGTCCATCTATTTATGTTCCACTACTTTACACATTACCTTAATAGTTTTCATCCCTTTTTCATTTAGTAGAATTTGATGCCAAACTGTCCACTCAACAGCTATAAAGTCTTTACACCCATCTCTCTGGAGACCTATGTATGTATGTAGCTGCATTAAGTAGGAAGAAAAAGGGAAACCTGGGTCCGAAGAAAACAAAACCAAAACAGAACAAAATCTCTTGCTGCTCTGCAGTTCTCTAAGAGCAGGAAAAAAAGCAGCTTGCTGTCCTAGGCATACAGACAGGACTGCCCTCCCAGTTCTCCCAGTTACACCATACAGAATTCCGTGGCACTGTAATCTGAAGAAACCTATTTCATCTCAGCTAATAGTCTGTGTTCCATTCACATTGCCTGAAATGAGTGTCCTGTAACCCCAGGTCACGTTATGCTACAGACATCTATAGGTAAAAGAAAAAAAGGTATATAAAGGGTTAACCTGCTGGAAGCAGTAAGTAGTTAGCTCAGCAGTGAGTCAGCAATGCCTGTCTAGAACTGCAAACAGGAGACCCTTTGACACAGACAAGCAGCTTCCAGCAAGTCTCTTATTTTACCATCTCCTCCTCTCCTCCTGCTGCTCCTCTTGCATCTTCCTCATACCTTGAATTTGGCAAATTGTCACAGAAGCAGTTTCACTGCACAAGAGGTTTCCACAACCACTTTGGACTGCTCAAATGTTTAATTAGATTGCCATCTCAACTGACAAGYTGACTGTAAACATGCTTGCAAGTGTTTGAAGCCAAAGACACAACAAACAAATACACTGTATTTAAAAAAAATACATATATATATGTAGTGCTTTAATGGTAGCTCTTAACAGCTGTTCAACGTCTACCCCAGTTTAACTAAAGAGTTCCCATATGGGGGAACAATCTGATAAAAYAAAATGCATCCGCTCTGTTTCTCAACAGCTCACTAAGCCAAGTCTGGGTCTGTGTAGCAACAGTTTGTAAATAWTGGTATTTATGCAGCACTTTTCCTCAAGCCACTTGATTGCATGTGCACCCAGCAACACGCTACAGCCTAGCTGAAAAGGACATTGTAACATCTGAAGATAAGGAACGTTGAGGTAGTTTAGACCAGTGACTTTGGACTTTGTGCCTTGTCTGAAAGGCAGCATGTCCAGCAGTAAAATTCCCACTATTGTACTCAGCCCTGATAAAGTACTGGCTCCGAAGAGACCCACCTGATGAGTCATTTCCGGGGATACCCTAACGCTCCCTGGCAAAAGGTATGGGCAGAGGAGCTCCAYTCCAGAGACTTTTAAACTCTGTATGACCTGTTCCAATCAAGCAAACTTGCAGCCCACATAATACAGCCTATCCTATTCATATACGTGAATGCAGCATATCCAAAAAATCCTATTCTCTGACCGTAAACACTTTTGGGTTGCTTRCGTCCATTCAAACTGCTGCCACAACATTCATTTTGCTGAACAGTAACAGTTACTCCTGTTAGTTCCCAAGACAGACATCCCTTTCCCTCTGGCACCAAGCATAACCTACTTGCTCCTACCTCAAAAGCCTCCATCATTTCATCAAAATCATCATATTTAAATTTCATTATATATTGGAGAGATTTCATTATACAGGAGATTATATATATATATATAATATAGATATCTATCTTCTTACCATCATTACTATAAAATATCCAAGTCTACCTCGTGTTGTAATGTGCTGAGGCCACAGTTCACCATGTTAATACTGCAATTTCTTCTTTTATTTCCTGCCAGCACCATTCAGCTCTAGTCATCTGTTGTTTTTTATCTTATTCTTGGAGSGCTATAGATACTGAGGAATAGGAGCTGTTCTGTATTTGTTCAGTTTCTAGCCTCCCTGCTCATAAATCCTTTAAACATGACAGTAATCATGTAAAGATGAAATATTGCATAATGACAAGAAAACTTCCCTGCCTTCATCCTGTTAAAAATAACATTTTCATTTGAAGCGAATTAATTCCTCCAAACTACTTCACTCTTCAGAGAAGGACATGCTCATTTTCCAGAGCCAAAGACCCAAGCACATCAAGTGAGGTATCTCTCTGATACAAGTTACAGCCCTACAGTTAACACGTTTCATCTAAATCACTTTACCACAAGCACCGAGTGCTGCTTAGGAAGTCCAGATGTCCCCAGCGTTTGCAGTATGCTGTGCCATCCAACTCGATATGACCCCTACGATGCAACATACAGTGCCCAGCACTTTAAGACATCTGTGACTCAACCACGTTGCAATGCACAGCAGGCTGAAGGTATAGTTGAGGGTATATCAACTGCTATAGTTGTGAGCAGTTCTGACTTCAGCAAATCCCAAACCTTCACACAGCTGAGACCAACACACACCCCAGAGAGTAGACTGAACAGAGATCATCCACAGGGATTCACAGGCAGAAGTCACCAATTATCAAAGGGGTTCACCAACCTGCCACAGAATGGGGCTCAATATGCACCAAATTTCATTTGGTAGCCTGGTAACCCTGACATTCAAACAGTTCATGCTCTTCCACACACAGGAGTTCTGGTCATCCACTGACCCTATCCTTGGGGGCTCCGGTGCCAGTCAAAGGACAGTTGGAGGGATTCATAGCTTAGCTGTTTGTAAGCTATTTGCAACTCGAGAAAGGGTCTGGTCATTCTCATGCCAGGGTCAAGTCACCTACTGAGCTATTCCATTTTTAACTCCAGGACTCTCTACATCTATCGCTTTTTGGACATCTGCAGTGAGGAAGAGAACTCACTCTGGGCAAGTACAGGCCAAGTAGACACAGAAAAATCTGTAAATCCTTGCTGATCCTGGCCTGAGGATGAACTAAATGCCTCTCCTTGGACTCTCTGTTGTCTTGGTTTTGCACAACTTCTTGTCACCACAAAACACATGGGAGTTATTTCTGGTATTCACCTAATAAGCCATAAGCATTCATTCCTAGCACTCTGGAGCTTCTACAGCCAGCAATATGAATCCTTCCCATCTAACAACACAAGCCTCTTTTACCAGCCCTGGGTTATTATTTCTTCCTCTGAATAAAACACTACAGAGAAGCAGCTCTCTCATGAGAACGCGTTCCATGTCAACACCCCTACAGTCCCCAGAACGGTGACGAGGAGGGGCGTCCCACGTGAGTGCACTGTGCCACTTACCATTCTTCCTTTCACTGAGCGGAGGGAGGTTGGGGTTTCGGCCATGGTGGAGGCTGAGGGTCAGCTCGGGCTGCAAGGAGAGCTCCTGCAGCTCGTTGGCAACCGCTTCGCTCTGCGGGCTGGGGGCCGCCGAAAGCGACACCAGCACCGGCTCATCGTCATTTTCGCCAGCCCCTCCTCCGTCCAGCCCATTCCCAGCAATGACGGAAGGGGGCAGGCACACCACCCCGGAGAAATCCACCTTGGCTTTCGTGATGGCAACCTGCAAGAGGGAGCAAAATAAGGAAAAGTCAGTCCTGTACTAGACAAACATAATCTGCATCTCCAGCGCATCATATTGAATCTGCATCTCCAGTGCATCATATTGTCTTCAAGAGCAGCGTGTTCTTTATCAGCATATTAGCACCACCATTATCAACTCAAATCCAGCTAGCATTTCAAAGTTGCTAAGATCACCAGTTTATAAACCTGCAGAAGCCTCCAACAGGGTCACCGCAGAGACTGCTGATGAAACTACTGATTATTATCATTTTCTTTAAAGCTTATGAGGACATTCTCATCTTCTGGTACTTAAAATAAACCCAATTTTGAGAAGGCTAGGAAGGTAATCACCATGATTTGAGTTGTTTATCATGCTCTATGCTTCCAGTAGAGTCAGCTTATTTAAAATTTTGCTGACCTCTTCACTACTCTCCTTGTCTTAAACCAAGATGTGGTTTTAAAAGGAAAACTATTAATTCAAGATCTAGTTAGTTAAAGTAATCCTGCATAATAAACTCTGAAGGATAGCAGAGTGCAGCAGCCAGAGAGTTGCAAATGAATTCATTTTCATTTCAACAAATAGCTCTCTTGCCAGGTATCAAGCAAAAGGTTTTTTCAGGGGCTCTCCATCTTCAAAACGAGGCCCATAGACTTAGCTTGAAAAAAAGCAAAGCGAAATACCATAGGATAGCCCTAGTCCACAATAATATAGTTTTCATTATCTATTCCCCCACTTAACAGCTAGATTTAACTTAGATGAGCGTGACAACATTCAACAGATGATAAAGCAGCTGCAATAGTGGTTGCCCGTTTATATTTTGTTTAATAGGATTCCAATATTTTTGTTCACATTTTCTTTTCTACTTCACTCAGCTTCTAATGTTTACCCTGTGCTCTCCAGACCAAAGTCATAAACAGTAGTGCTTTTTTCCACCCGCCTATAAAACATGTTCCGTGCACATTCAAAGCAACTGGCAGTGAATACACACTACTTAATCCATGTTGTCACACACTCATTCCCAGGACCCTGTGTCATGGTCTGAAGAGAATGAGGGAAAAGGGTGGAGGGAAAAAAACAAATACAAAAACCACCAACTGAAACTAGTGCTTGTTTTAACAAAACAAATGACACGGAGCCAAAGCTTACTGCTGTCTGAAGTATTTGCTTTTACTTCAGTTACAGCTTGGCTAGAATGTGCCTCCCCCCTCCTTGGTATATTCCCTGTCCAAAACAAACATCACTCATAGCTATTTGAAAGTAAATTTTAACAGTAACAAGAAAAGAGAAAAAAAAATGAGATTGAGTCCGTTTATTTACAGTGGGTAAAGAAAGCCTGAAAATACACTCACACACTCCCTTGAACCACAGATTTGGTCTCAGTTTGGTAAACTATGAGCAAAGGTTGGAAAGAGTTAAACTGACTAACCTAGCTGGTCTTCGGCCCTGTACCTGTAGTGACAGGAGGTCTGTGGAAGGAAGCTAAAGGAAGAGTAATTGCTTAGTTGCAAGTTGGACTGGTAAGGACTGGTATCACTCCAGGAAGAACACCCAACCGGAGGCAAAGTCTTCTTGAGGAGATGTGCTGGAGCCGCTACACTGTGTCGGGTACAAATGGCAGGTAGGAACATGGGCAGCCAACCTGTATGAAGYGACTGACGAGAGAGATACCTATCCCTGCCAAAGAAGGGTTTGGGATGGCAGGAGACTCAACCTACTCTCCTCAATCCATCCTAGAACAGAAGAGAAAAATAGTTCCTTTCTCTAAGAGAAATATCATACATGTAAGATATACCTAGACTACAAAACAGGAAACGCACTTAGAAACTTCTGACACCCTGGATTTTCTTTTAAACAGGAATTCATAATTCCTATAAACCAGGCAAATCACATTTCAAACAATTTTAAAACAGTGTTTTAAAATGGAAACTATTTTCCTAATCTAGGTACTTGCAAGTTAGCCAGTCCTCTGAAATTACATCCTTCATTTTCAAGAATACCAAGCTGCAGCAAAAGCCGTCTGGCCTCATCCAGAGTGGGGCAGGAAGAGATGAGCACTCACACACCAATCTGCCCCGTAAGCCAGAGCAGCACCACAGCAAGCACTAGAGCTCTCCTAGCAAGTCAGGCCCCGGAATTCAAGGGCCACAACAAGGGCTGGATTATTGCTAAGGACTTGCACCTGGGCTTGCAGGTTTCCTAACTCATGCAATAGGTGCGACTGATAAAAAGTGTCTTCTTCTTAATCCCAGTTGCTGTGTTATTCACTTGCAGATGAAGAAAGTTGTAGTTCCATCGAAGCTAAACTGCAAGGAGCCATTACAACCACTAAAACTGTGTCTCCTCCTCTCTCTATCATTTCAGGCCAGCACAAGCCTTTACAGTGATGCATGATGAACTACCGAGAAAACTGAGCCACGCGTAAAACCCAGATATTTGGTTCCTTCCCACTAAAGCAGGTCCCTGGGGCACTGTCTTGCAGTCACATCAACACTTGGGCCAGCACAACAAGGGCAAGACCTGTTTACACAATTAATACATCATTAATACCACAGCAATGTCAAGTTTTAATATGCAACATACCTCCGCTTCACAAATAAATGATAGTAGTAAATATCAGTACAGCTTCAAATCGCCTCCCAAAAGGAAAGGAAGGAGCAAGCGGTTTATTTAGGCCTATATATGCCTTGGTATGAGGCTTTAAAAGTGTTAGAGTGATAGTTCCTCAACTCTGACCCCCCAAGACTACAGTATGCTCTAATGTTCTAATTGGGTGGATTTAATTTTTGTGTATTCAATTAAAAGTCTGATGAGGGCACACAGGGATKTGGAAGAAGCTTTGAGGATTTACTATCATCGTTATTTGCAAAACACTGATACCGTGTGAAAGACGTGGAGTACTTTTCTGTAATCAAAAGCAAGGCTGTTTTTAGACTTCCCGGAGAGTTACAGTGCTCTATAAGTGTCATTGTAGAATGAATCAGCTATGTACATTAATATTTAGAACCTAATTAAAATTTTAAAATGTTTGTTTGCCTCTCATTTTTAAACATGCCAGAAACTTTCCCACAGAGAAATGTACCACAGAATGAAGATATTTAAATAGCTCATCCAAAAGCAGATGGACAAWCTTAAGAGCAAGGATTCCTTATAACCAGCAAGGGTTTTTGGGTGAACAATCCCAAGAGTTGATATCTGTTGCCCAACTAGAGGAAAACCTCCTGTCATGGCATTTTCCTGCTTCTGGAAGAAGAAAGAAGTCCCATAGATGTTCTACAGCAGCAGCAACAGTTTAAGCAGCCCTCATCATCTTTAATAGCCAGTTGCTCATTCCTGTCCCTACACTGTCCTTTCTTCAAACAGCTGAAATGTYTGTGTGCAGCCATGCAATGAACTAGACTAGCGAGTTGAATCAACTGAAAAAACTTTTTTTTTCTTCCCCTGGGTTATCAGTCAGCAAAATCAGTTCTCCAACCTAGACCTTTGCTAGTTACACACACAGCTTTGTCACCGTAATGCAGAGGCAGGAACAAGCTCTTTGGGCTCAGGAARGACCCCACAAGAAACATTAGACATCACTCCTGAATACACAAATCATCTTCCTTTCCTGATCTCTGGATGCTCTGGAGGCATCTGCCAAACAAATTCAGACAGATGAATACAGCAGAGTCAATGCTGAGCAAGCTGTAAGATTAAGAATCACAGCCAACAAGAAAATTTTGGACAATGTTATCTTTATCAAACCTGCAAATAACAAAGGTTAAGTTGCTCTACAGTTATTRCACGGTTGCTCTCTCTCATCTCAAYGTTGYATCACAACAAATGCAAGGCAAGTCTGATGAGCTTACTCCTTGGTAAAAGAAYGCTCTAYTACACAACAAAACTACATCCATAAACTCACAAATCTGTTGATTCAGAATCCCCAAGAGTAGCTCAAAGCCCCAAAAGATAAAAGGGGAAACAAGAGAGACAGACACCCATCTGATCTGCAGTAAGCCAGTTTGTGGASCTAAGTGGAAGAAAACTTTTTGTGGGAAGGGGAGTAAGAGTGATAGGATTAGCTTTCTGCCAGGTCAGCTCCATTAATGAGCCCATCAGAAGGCCAGACAAGCACTAAGCAAGAGGGGCATGAAGCCAGACCTGCCCTTTTTGGCAAGGGCTAGTTCTTAGATCAACTTAGCTGCATCGTAAGGCCACATCCTCTGGTTAGGCACTAAAGTGGCACTACCAGCAAAAGTACCAGTCCAGCTTGCTTGTTCCTTCCCTCCCGTAGGCCTGTACAAGCTGAACCAGATCAAGGAGCTGATCAGGGTTAAATTTAACCTGGCCCCACACACACACAAATTGCTACTTTTAATTTGCATCAGTTCATGATCTGGCTTGCTACCCAGCCACACAAATACAGGGGSTGGCTGAAAGAAGAAGGAGGTAGAAGGAAAATAAAACAATAAATCAGGAGGGGTACTTTTGGTAGCAGTGTCAGCTTAAAGTGCTTATAGAACCACAACCCAGATGTTCTTGCACAGTTTCCCTACCCCATATTCACACTGGACTTGGACGCTTGCATTAGACTTCCCTTGACTTTAGTGATACTCACATGGTATAATAAAGCTATTGAAAATGAGTATTTAAATGAATCAAAGAACAGTCCTGGCTCCCCTAACACGAAGCATCAGTAAACAGGGTAAAACTTGTAAAACAAAAGGAAATAAAGAATAAATAAAAATCAGGGAGGCACAAAAAAATAAGAAAAAAAATCCCCAGCATAACTGTCAAAGCGAGCAAGGATTCCTCTATTAGCAGCTTTCGCTGCTTTTCTCTCCTTCAAATCTTGTTTGCATTTTGGGGGCCGAGTTGCCAGGGTAATAGCAATTTCCTACCAATTTAAGAATTGCTAAGCAACCTGCAGCAGCTAACAGCAACAGCATGTGTGTGCAGCTGGGCTATTTTAAGATGACAGGATTTTTTTTATTATTATTCTAAACCGAAGAGCAGCCTTCTGTGAAACGACTATGCCAGCTGGGATCATYCAGCCAAGAGAGGAGATAATCTTAGGGCAAAGTGGGTTTAAGTGGATGAATCTTTGAAATTAATGAGGAAATGGCAGGAGAATGGCATGCCGTGCCCAAAGGCAACGCTACCCCCAGGTCAGCATGGAACAGCAACCCAGGAGAAGAGAAGTTTGCAGCAGATGGAAGCAATAGGATCTCAGTAGCCTGAGAGGCCGAGATGATCTGGGTGAACTGACACATATACATTTATCTTAGATAACAAAGTCACCACTAGGAGATCAGGTCTACGTCAAAGAAAACAGGGTCCTGTCAATCAGCTGAAGCTAGGCAGGCAAACACTGGCAAAATTATTCCTCTGATTATTGGAGAGTTAAAGCTGACGACGCTGCCCATAAAGTACACATAGTGCAGCATGCAACAGCACAAACAACAAGGACTTTACTTTGTGAGTGTATCAGTTTGTTTTTGAGGAACAATATTAAGATAAAAACCCAATTACTTGGACCATTATTGAGAGATCTTCATAGATAAGATTTTAATACACATACTGACACACGTATGTGTCTTCTGGAAAATGACCTGGTTATCGGCTTCCTTCACTTCCAGAGCAAKTAGAGATGGCAGAGGGGAAAAGGCAATAACAGTCAGAAAGTAGCAGAGCTCACTTCTGGATTTGAGACAGCCATTGAAGACATGTGTGTGTGTCTTACAATGATCATAAGACACTATCCTGCAAGGCCTCTATCAAAAAAAGCAAGGCTGCAACACATGAATAAAGAAGCTAGTAAGTTTACAGGCACAGCTTCCTATAGGAGGCAAAGAAGCTGTATCTGCATGCATGCTGTACTAGTAACCTTACAGCAACAGATGCCATCCTCTCCAGAAGTCTCTCCAGTACAGCCTCCAGCAAGTCTACCAGCACAAGATGCAAAAAGACATGCTGGGGCTAGCAACAGAATAGCAAGAAACCTTATCAGACAAACAGCATAAACAGCTGTCTAGAGATCACAGAATCAAAGGCTGGTTGAGGTTGAAAGGAACCTCTAGAGATCATCTAGTCCAACCCCCTGCTCCAGCAGGGACACCCAGAGCACGGGGCGGCATCCAGGCGGGTTTGGAAGATCTCCAGAGAAGGAGACTCCACAGCCTCCCTGGGCAGCCTGTGCCAGGGCTCTGGCACCCTCACAGTGAAGAAGTTCTTCCTCACATGGAGATGTTGGGGTTTAAGGGGGAAAAATACTAAGAACATGACTCATGTAAAAAAAAATCAACAGCATCATGCTGTTAATAAATCACTACAGACAAACACAACTTTCTACATGGTTTTAAAGACTGCTCATCAAGGACCATATTTCTCTTTCTGAAAGCTGTTTTCTTCATAAGATAATAGCATACATTTTCCTCTGTTCAACAATGACAGAAAGTTTTCAAAAGGCTCAAAAATCATTATTAAGTATCTATTTCTTAAAACCACAAATAGCAGTCTGAGAAACGTAGTTTGGCATTCCAAATGTTTTCTAAATAGTATTCTTCATGATTCAGTATGTATTTGGAGGAACTTTTTGGCTTTCAAACTCTTGGAACTCTGGATACACACAATAACAGATAATACCAAAACTAGTCTTAAGAATCACAATGAGATTTATAATAAAAAATTCCAGCTCAAAAAGGATGGAATCCACCAATTTCTTAACGTTTTAATTAAGTCCAAGTGTAAATGAGTAAGACTTCCTTCTCATTTCAGTGAAGAATATGTTAAGACCTAAACTGATGTAGCAGTTTATGGGCAACTGATTCTATGACACCTCCCAGCCTGGTTTGTGAGACTGAAGACTAAAAGCTCCCAAATAAATAACATTTTCCATTGGAGGTCCATACAAACCACAACTTGAAACACAACTGCAAGGGACAAAAACATTTATGTTTAGTTCGTGTGTCAATGGATAGACTGGGGTATATATAAGGCTTTGGTCATGATATAGATCATTTTCGTAGCTAAAAGTGGAATCCAGCCTTCTGTGCATGCCTGCTATTCCCATTTGATCTAATCTAATCATTGTGCACCCGCAGAGTGAGTCAGGGCAGCTGAATCAGCACAAGATTAATAACCTACAAAAAGATTAGAAAWCCTTTTCTATGGGATCAGTCAGCTAGACGGACATGCCCTGCGGCTGCACAAGCTCCGATGCCAACGGGGGAGTATGAGCACACGGCTGCGCGGAGGTGAGAMCGGCCTTTGCAACAGCAGTTCACTAAAACAGCAACTTGACTATAATGTCAAAGAGCACATTTAAACAACCAGGAGCAGTGCCAGCTTAAGCAGCCTGCTACACATTCCCACTCTCATACCTTCCTCMTTGTGAAACTAGCATTAAACTTATGGAGACACCGTGTACTGGATCAGATGAAAATAACTAGCAAAAAACCCCCACTTCTCTCCAGAAGGATTTGCTCTCCAGAGTGGCTCACCGTGGCCACACAAAGAGCTACATCATAAAATGGAGGGAGCAGCAAAGGGGAGCAAGCTGTTTAAGACAGGACTGCTGCCAAAAAAATGTACAAACTGTGATATATTCAGAATGGGATGGGACTTCTCTATACCTGTTTTTCATTACCTGCTTTCCTTGCAATTGCTGACTGGTGCTCTTTTTTTTTTTTTCTAATTTATTTGAAGAGGAGGCAAGGCATCCCCCAGCCCCTGCAAAAGGGCAAGCAGGTGAATCAATGATTTCAGCAAAGGCAATTTGCTGAATTCAGCAAGAGCAATCAACAGAAGCAGGAAAGCACCAACAAACTAGAAAAAGGGATGCTGAAGATCTGCGGCCCGCTGTAAGCTCTGACTTTGGAATCCACATCAGGAAAACTGAGGTCTCGGAAGGACTAAACCAATTCCTGCAGAGTGTAGATTTAGGGCAGATTGGCAAGGGAGAGGCATGATACAGGAGGAGACTGGAGTCTTCTTTCCCTAATAGCCCAATGACAGTAACCCCTGAAGATGTGAACTCTGGGACATGAACTGGGGCATCCAGAGCAAAATAGAGTGGGGACTTGGGGAAGTAGGAATGGATCTACTGTGTCCTCATCTTCCATACCCCTTCCATTTCTATTTCTCTTTTTATTTTATTTTTTTTTTTATTGCCTCAGCAGCTTAAGTTGATCTTAAGTCCAGCTACTGTATTCTTGTTCCTGACATGCATTTCAGTCCCTTTCCTTGTGCTGGCAGTAGCATTCATAGAGCTACTAATCTAGCTAAAACACAAACAAACAAAGAAATAAGAGGAAAAAAACATGAAGGAATGGTAATTAGAGTTCAGACAGAAAAAAAAAAAAAAAAGAAAAAAAGAAAAATGAGTAAGGCCCACTAAAAAGCAATAGCTTTCATTTACCCCATATAGGCATCATGTGGAATTAAACCCTGAAACAAAGACTGCAAGAAGTTTTCTGACCCCAGTCACATTCCTTAGTCATGACAGTGTAAGAGTCTGTCTACAGAAATTAGACCAATCCGAACTGACTTTCCCTCTCCTCCCCATCAATGAATACTAGATATGGAATATAAGTTTCTTTAAATTCACTGGCATCTCCTAATGTAGTTACCTGATGTGATACTAATTTAAAGTACTAAATCCATCAACTGAGACTGTTACCAATTCTTCTATTCCCTTTCTTCAGTATGAGAGCTGACTTTGCACCTCTGGATTGTCCCATCACTGAAAAAAAACAGATCAGAATTGTCTTCGGTGATTCCTAGAGAAGCAGGTCTCAATATCACCGTCCTGTCTCAGCTAACCAGTTTATCAAAAAGAAGTATTAAATACTCAAGAGGTGCTCCCTGGTATGTAAATCTAATGCATATGGGCAAATGTGCGGGGGAGAACAGTACTATTGCTGCTGTTCTCTGCCAATTCAAAGGATTTAACTTCCACGACAGGAAAAAAAAAAAAAAAAAAAAAAAAAAAAAAAAAAAAAAAAAAAAAAAAAAAAGACCAACCTTTTCTTTCCTTGAAGCAACAATACTGAGAGCCAGTGCCTGGAGGGCATCTAAAATAAAGACTTCTGTTCAGGTGCTAGAACTACACTAAAGCATTTTCTGTTCTTAACTATAAGATTCAGTCTAGGTAGTACCGAGAAAGCCTGCCAAAGAGCACAAGTTAACTTGTGACAAGTTTGTGACTAATTGCTGGGCAGAAGCAAAARGAGAATAAGAACGTATTTAAACCCTAAAGCAGCATAAATGGGCCCGCTGGCCTCGTCATTGCCGGACAGCCATCGCACCTGAAGATATTTCACCTTCAACAGACTCCTCACTCATTTTTAGTATGTGCAAGACTTCAGTACATAAAAAAAAAGATTCAGATTGGAGATAGCAAAGAGAACACAACACATACCTTACTCAGAGTTCCCACGGGCAAACCCAGTTCGCTTCCATGCCAGCAGCTCTCTCCCCAGTCACTGAAAGGGAAAACAGGACACAAATACTCAGAGATCTTCCAATAATAAGGCCCATTAAGAGTAAGTCATTTTTCTTGTGTTCTTTTCTTACATTATCACTAATTAATTAGGCATTCAGAACAGAAGTTGGACTGAAATACAATCAAAAACAGCCATCCTAGTACGCCCATATGCATGCTACTTCCAGAGTGGCAATTTTACTTTGGGATTGCTGGTTTGGTAGTTCTGAAGAATGCATTGTTTGAGATTTACTAAGCCTGAACATTAACCAAATGATACACTCAATCTTCCTGTCCTTGCACTGGAACCATTCTTCAGCAGATGGAGAAAACTGGAGACTGTTATGGCTAGTTTATTACACTGTGTTATCCACCCAAACAAAAACAGGGGAAGGTAACAAAGCAAACYGCAGAGATTCACCAAGACTGCAGTGGGTACTGCGTTTCTGAGGGGCAAAAGGAAACACCTTCCATAAAAGCACATTAAAGCAAGAGAGTAATTTTTATTTGGCAGCACTGTTTTAACATACGCATAGGGGCAACAGCTAACTGAAAAAATAGCTACTTCAGAGCCCCTGTAAAACCATTGTCTTAAATGGCAATAAAAAAATAAAGGTTTGAAGTTGATTTGCAGTTGTACTTTCACCTCATTCCTTAGCCCTATTAAAAAATAGTATGAGCTATCACATGCAGGCTTTGCCACAAAGTTTATTACATTTTCTCTTCCCAGTTTTTCAAACTTTAAGGCTTCCAGACTTTCCAAGGTTTAAGGCACCAGTACCACTCAACAGAAGCACAGGACCACAGTTGAGATAATACAATATTCTATCAGTGAGAGAAAACAAGAGACCAGGCACCTCCTCAATTGCAAACTTGAGGCCAAAGGGACAAAGGACACCTCAGCATTAGCACAGCAAGGCAATACTGAGAACAATTAGTTATTTAAATACTTAAAGTGAAAATTCACAGCAAGAGACAAACCATATTTTTTAAAGAGGCTGAACTAATGCAATAGTAATTAAGACACGATAATGATGAAAGGATATAAGAACAAGTGTATAATTACGCAGTGCCTTTTACAGAATTATAAATCTTAGATTTCCTAAGAAATGCAAGGATAAAAAGGCCTTGGTTTTGAAGCCTCAAGAAACCAAGGAAAATATTAAAAAAAAAAAAAAAAAACACCATTAGAAAACTGACCACTGTAGGAGTTTGACACTATAAGCCAATAAGTAAAATGCTTCCTAAACAAATAAAACCACTCCAGAAATTGCATTTCACACACAAAAATTTAGGCCAGCTAGTGACATATTTTATTTCTGCTCACCAATCCTTAATTTCCCGTAATCTTGATTCACTGCATATTGCCTTCTGATTTAAGGTTGCAACACCACTGAAAGCTGGATAATCATCACGTTCCAGGTTCTCACTCCCAGCACTGAACATCCATGTTCTCCAGAATCTCACTCAAGTCAAAACATCTCCAACACAGAGCTGCTTCTTGATCTGCCAGTTCCACCCCAYGGCAGAGACCTGTTCCTACTATGCATGTGTATGTATACCCATCCACACAAACTCAGAAAAGAGGACAAATTACGTCAGCGACTTCGTTGCCTGGTTTTGTTTATATCTCCTGAGTTGCCAGCACTCCCATTAGCCTTCTCACAACATACTAGGGCAGCATACTTCTCTTCCTCTCTCTACTAAAATTTTCTTCTAGATCCTTTAAAAGAGCCAGTGAAAGGCCAGCATTAATATGTTTAGCCCTGTTGCTCAAGGACCTTCCTGCTCAGCCCTAGAAGGTGGTTAAACTGTGTGATTTACTGTTTTAGTCATCTGAACCTCAGGTAGGAGATAAGTTGGCTTGCCATAGGCAAAGTGTGCCATACAAATAAGAGATGCTTCAGGTATACAGTGTATTTCTGTCATTCTTATTTAATCATTGCATGGAATTTCAATCCAACTTGGAAGAATGAAAACAAGCACGTGCCACCTTCAAAATTCAATTTCCAGTATCAAATCACACTTTACAATAAATTTACCAAATCATCCTTATAWTTAATGCTAAAATCAAGTAAATGAAGTTAAAATGTAAAGTTAAAATGTTCTAATGAAAGATCAGCTCTTCACTGCTCTTTCCATACTGCAGCCTGTGAGCAAAGATTAATCTGATAACTGAAGTATTTTCTCACTAACTTCCATGGTTAAACAGCTTTTATAACTCCTTGCCTATAGTATAATCAAAACAGTCCTTTAGTCCTCCTTTTTTCCTCTGACCATACAGTCATGGCAGGCTGACTCCTACTGTCCCAGATTTTCTGGAGGGGGGAAAAAAAAAGTCTCATCTCTAAGAAATGCAGAAGTCTCRTCTTGCTGATAAACTTCTCCATCCAATGGAAATGTTTATACGTCACTGTTTACACATTCAAGCCAAATGGCTGCTATTCCAGTGATTACAACGGACTATTGCCTTCACTGGTGCCTTGGGAGTTTGAAGGCACCTAAGCAACACCGAAATTCACTAACATGATTCACGAGTCTGACCTGAATGGGGTAACACACATTTCATAGCCTATCTTTCTAACGATCATGCTGCCTCTCAACTGGAGGCTTGTAAAAGGTTTAGATTCAACAAGAGTTGTTTCAGTAAAGCAGGCAAGATAGGAGGTATGAGAAAAATTGAGAGACATTGTTAAATTGGACCTAACATTAACTTGGCCCTATCAATCATTCGGAAAAGCCTCTCATGCAGGTTTAAAAACATCATAAACTAGGTCTATCTCGTACAAACCAATGGAAATTAAAATACAGTCTGCAATCACATTCTGTAGAGAAAAATATCAGAAAAAAAATGAGAAATTTAAAGAAAAAACATTCAGGAAGAATCTTGCAGTGCTTTTCCAACAGCCTTCTTCTGAAGGAGGAAAAGTTCTCTGTAATTAACAGAAAGTGAATCCTGCTTCATCTTTACTGAACTGTACCTTCACAAACAGTTGCAGAGAGAATGAGTTCATCATAACATGGTTATGACTGCGTGTAGGAGCTATCTCATTCGAGTTGTGATAAACAGGCTGTCAACTGCATGGATSGATTGTGAAGGCAAATCCTAACCTCTCTGCTATGCCACAGAAAAGGTAGAGCTCCTGGAACCACAACACACACACACACACCTTGTCCCTGGCACATCTAGGACGAGTCAGGACTGCCACACAGTAGAGGAAATATTAGTTTGAGGTTATACCACTCTGCTGGGTAGACTCCTGTCCCCAAAGAAAGTTCATTTCACAAGAGCAGACACATTACTTTAGTCTCATGTTCCTCTAAATATGAGGATACTGTGAAGATGTGAAGTCAGCATATTTATTTGCCTTGCTGGAAGATGGAAAAAYAAGTTACTTTCTGCACTTGACACCAGAGGCTCCTGCATTATGGTATCTAAACACTTCAGTGTACACCGTGGCAAGCACAGACAACAGCAGCAGCAGCTCCTGACTGTGCTCAAGGGGAAAATTTTTATGTGCATGAATTAAAACTTCTGCAGAAGCAGCCCCTGTTGATCAGCTCCTTACAAATAGCTTGCTGGTTCAGGTAGCTGTAGCTACAAGYTTCCTCGACTGCACTTCACCAAAACCCTGCTTTTCTGGATCAGCAGGGCTAAAACAAGCTGAAATAGGGAGCACAAGTTAATTAGAAAGGGTAAGCAGAAGTAGTCAAGATGCTACTTTGTGGTAGGAGAGCAAAGAAGGATGGATGGCAGGCATACAGTTAAGGTCAAAAACTGTCTTGAATTAAAAGATCTCCTAAGCCTTTAGCTTTCAAGGTTTTTAAAAAAATAAATAAATATATCACATTCTTAGTTGTTAAGAGCTCTTATCAACATGGCTATGTGCCTAAATCAAGTATTTCTTCACACAGGAATAACAATGCTATACACACACACACACACACACACACACAAGAAAATGGGGAGGTGTGGGTGGAGAAGGAGCACTGCACAAGCTCAATTTACTAGTTCAGTTTCTGAAATATAGAACAATCAAATTTAAACAAGCACAGTAGCGTGCTGAGGGACAAACTCAAATTGACCTGCCTGGAGAATTCGTGTCTCAAAGCCAAACTAAGAGAAGGATCCAAAAAAAGGAGTTACTGTTACCATCATTGTTTCTTAACATCTGAAAACATAGTATCCGATTTACAGAAGATCTCTGTATAAGCTGCATGCATCATTTGCCCTCCRCAAGGACAACCTGCATTTGGAAATCTCAACACATTGACCGACCACTCTGACATACCTAAGCCTGGTAATGTAAACTGGCTTCCCTCCAGTGCCATTCATTTCCCTTGAAGAAGCCACTTAAGCGTGTTTGCGCTCCATAAAGCGCTCACAGGAGGCAAGGTGGAACATGCACATTAACCACACGCACTTCCCTGAAGCCCAGCACGGAATATTTGACAAAGAAATTAGAGCTTCTGAACGGACACAAACTCATATATTTCGTCTGCTATTTGAAGAATGCTCATAAATGATGAATCATAGGGCTGGCTGTAAGCTATGGCTCCAAATATGTTACTTTTGGCCACAGAACTTAMTAATCAGCTTCAGCTCTCCGTTCCCTCCGCTCCAGCCGGGCATTCCTTCTACCCTCCTCCACCTTTACATTTTGGAGGTAAGGGGGAAGAGGAACAGAACGTACATAGATTAAAAGCCATTTCTCTTATCTGATTCAGCATGCAGACATAATATCACTACTGAGGTGATAGTACATGGTGGTTAAAAAGCAAGTGAAATAAAATAAGCAGATGGGAATACAAGCCGTTTAAGACAGAYCCGCCAGTAAAAAACGTCTGTGTAACCACATCCTCTGTTTTCAGTCTCAGCTCAGCTGTGTGTCCAGCAGGAAATAATTAGATTTGCCTTTCCCAGAGTATTTGATGGTTTCAAACTGCTGAATAGTTGCTTTTTCTGCTTCCTCTTCAACAGTTTCCTCAGGAAAAGGCCATGACCCTCAGGACATCTTTGATAAATTTTTTCAAGGAAGAGTATTGCAGAACCATACTAAGATTTACTAATTGTTACTCTTCTTACTTTCTTAACTGTTCTCTTCAAAGGGATTTTAAGTGTAGTACTGAGCTGTCAGAATGAAAAAGATCTTGAGACATTCACATTGCATCATCTGGAGTACAGGAAGTACAGCTGAGTACACAAAGACGGGAGACTCTTGGAATTACTATAAATTCTACTTCTTAGGCAAGAAAAGTACACATGGAGACACATCACTAGGACATCTCATCCATTTCAAGTAAGCAAACAATTCCTCTTGATAAGGTTTCTGAGGTTTTGACACACATCCTAAGAATTTATCTGCTTTCTGCTCTACCATCCAAACCTTTCAAGCTTCTTCTAATCCTCCTGTTCCTCTCCACTTTCCTCCTCCAAATACCACACAATAAAGTAATCATGACTCAACGGTGAAGGCTGAGTCTAGGGCCGGGGTTTTGTTTTTATTTAATTTTAGGTGTATTCTGATTGCTTGAAAGCATAATTCCCCTGGAGATTCAAGGATAAACGAGCTGGCACAACACGCCTCTGCTTTACCACACCAGCAGACGCAGTTTTGAAACAGTCGCAAGCAAGCACTCCCTTCCGAGACTTTCCCATTATTTCGTATTTGAAGGCAGGAAAATTTAACATTGTCTGAAACAGCACATTTAAAGAACTGCCATATTCATGCAGCTCTAYGTCAAAGCATCTTCTATATTCCCTTTCTTTACACTGGGTTTAACAATCTGACGGTTGCCCCAGGAGTCTTCATTTTCATTTCAAAAGTGTTTCTTATTTCCCACCTGATGATGAAGTGGCTGGCTTTAGCTAAATGGAAATGAAAGTTATTTCTGTAACTGCTGGAACCAGCAAACACAGTGTTACTTACATTTCGTATGTAAAAATAYGATGCCCAAAAAACAATAACTGACATTTCACTCCTTGCGAAATTCTATTTGGTACCTACATTATAAATAAGAAAGGAACTTACTGGGTCCTTTTCAGTCCTATGTAGTGACTGAGGAGATGTAAATTCTACCATTTGTGAAAACCTTAAGGCATTTACTCTCAGTTGTGAGACGCTTTCTCCTTTCAGCAGGAAACAGGAGTTTAAAGATCAGAAAAAGGAATTCTAGTCAGCTTCCGAGCATATGCTTATTTTTAAATCTATTATTAGAATGTATTTAATCACARCCATTAGATCACTCATTTAATCACCGCAGCAAACAGGAACAAATGGGCCTCCCTCTCATTTCTCCTTCAGCAAAGAATGAAGGATCTTTGGAATGGCGCTTCAAAACTATGGATTGTATTAGTGGTTTTATTGTTTTGTTTTCCTCTGACTGATGTTTTATGTGCAAGCAGTACGACATACTTTGAAATAAGTGCTGAAATTCATGTGTACAGTTACCTGAAACCAAAAGCTATCCTTTTAATGTCTGCTATAGCAAGGTTAACTAACCAGAACATCAAATGCAAGCTTAAAATAAAGCCAAAATTGAGCCAGAATCAGTACACTGATTTTGCTCAATCTCCATGCTGAAATATTGGGTAGACCCTCTCAGCCCAGAATAACTACAGTTTATCTTTTCCAAAAACACASAGACAAACCTGATAGCCCATATCCACCTCACTGAAGGGTCACCTTCTGAAACAAAACCAGGGCAGGAGTGTGTTTAGCATGAAATTTGCACGATGAAATATTGCTAGGGTACATAAAGGTAGCCATAAAGGTCTCCAGATGTTATTTTTGCTGGCAAATGTTGATGTTTTCACTTGCACATAAGACGAAATGCTTTGGACTGGACCACGGTTCTGAGCAGCGAGGCTTATGAAGAAACGCTGCTCCCCCGCAGCSTTTTCCCTGCCCCAGGAAGGTCTGGACGGACTCCCGGGACGAAGGRGCGCCCGGGGGACATCCCAAGCGCGCGGCCGAGCAAAGCAGCCCCGCGCATCCCAACCCGGCACGGAGGGCGAGCCCCGCTGCGCTCCCGCCGCCGCCGCGCCGTGAGGAAGCGCCGGGATCCGGGGCGAGGGGGCAGCGGGGGAGCGGGGCAGGGGGCGCACGAGCCGGGGGCGGCGGGCGGGGGCGCCCCGCGCTGAGGCGCGCAGCGGAGCTGTCCAGCCGCGCTCCCGCCCGGCCCCGCCGCAACCGTTGGGGGGGGTGGGGGGGGGCGCGGTTCCCACCCCAACCGCCGCAACCGCCGCTGCGAGCCCCAACGTCCCCGCGCCAGGGCGGCTCCCTCGGGCACGCGCCCTCCCCCGCGCCTACCTGGTCAGGGCTCCATCTCGCGCCGCCGCCGCTACCCTGCCCTGGCGGAGCCGCCGCCGCCGCCAAGGCGCGTCCCCCGCGCGGGCGCCCCGGCCTCGCCGCCGCCGCCGCCCGGCGCCTCGCAACCGCGGAAGCTGCCGCCCCGCAGCCTGCTCGCCTGCAGACACGCGTCGAGCTCCGCCAATGGGAGCGGAGAGCGGGGGCTGAGTGTCAGCAGCGCCAGCCAATCGGCCTCGAGCACCTGGGGAAGCTAACGGGGCTGAGGCGGGGCCAGCGGCGCCGGGAGGGCGGGCGCACGGTGGCTGACGGGGTGCGCAGCCAATCGCAAAGCGGAATGATGTCATCGGCGAGGGCGGGGCGCCCCGAGGAGGCGGGGGCGAAGGGGAGGGAGTGTCTGCGCTCTTAAAGGGCCAGCCGCGGTCCTGGTGGGTGTGTTATTTTATTTATTTATTAATTTTTTAAAATTTATTTTCTAATTCATTTTTGAAGCCAGAAAGTATTTCCTGAACGCTCTTGGTGGGTATCCCCCTTGCATGAGCCACCATGAATTTGGGGCCAAACCCAATGCTAGGGGCCATTTTGGGGCCATGGAGGCAGATGGACAAGCATGGGGCCAGGGACCGGTGTTTGCCCATGTTTGCTCCTGTACTCGGCAGTTGTTCTGTCCAGTCTCCCTCCCTTTTTCCTTTCCTTTATTTTTTTATTTTTTATTTATTTTCTCTTAGAAAACAGCAATGATTCTTAGTTTCAAAGTAATGGATACTGCCTGGAGAGATAGAAACAAATAAATAAATGAAACAGTAAATCAGTGAGCCACCCATGTTAAAACCTTAGGGTTTTTTTTGCATTTTAGGGGAGCGAAGGAAGCCAAGGAGTGGTAACTGGACCTGAAGAGCAGGACTGGATAGTTGAAGTACTGCAGTATCGTTACAAGGAATAGGTGCAGCCTTATCTGCAACGCTGCCCTTGCTTCTGGTCATTGTATCTCAAAATGGTGTTTCCGGCATAAATCACCACAGAAAACACTCAGTGAGGGATTGCCTTGAACTGGGAAGCAGAAGAAACAGGGATCGTCCTTCAGAGCCAAGAAGAAGGGGGGCGAGGGAGGTCTAAAATACCAAATGGCGTGAAGAAGGTGGGATTGCCCCTTCTTTACTCACTTCTAGAATCAAAGAATGAGGGGGCTGCAATAAAACTGCAAAGAAAMGTAGGGAAGTAGGTAGGCGAAAATGAAACCCCCACAAAAAGCTGGATAGACCGAGCAGGGTCACCGGTGACTGCCCGCCAGCCGCTATCCCTGTTCCCTGTGCTGTCATTCCCAAGATCCCGCTCCACTCCGGCTCCACACATAAATCTTTGTGTAACATAATTCTCCTCCATGCTCTTTGACGGGGTTAGCCCTGCAGAGGTAGTTAAGTGAAAGAAGAAAAAAAGCGTGAGATTTTCCCAGGGATGATGGTATTTCAGGGAGTTTTAGGTTTAACGGCTAGTCAGGAATATTTACCTTCCTCTCCTTCCATGCTTTCTAAAAATAGCACTCTGGGGCTCTGAGAGAGAAGATACAAACAGATGAGAAAGCAAGGATGTCCCTCCACCCTGGTATACCTATGGTGTGTAACTAGGTTTTGAGATTGATTGCTTGAGAGACCGGTTAATAGATCCCTTTGCAGTGAGGGAGAAAAGATGTGTCCAAGGGCATTTGACAATTTGGCAGCAGAACTCACAGCAGTTCCCAGATTTCCAGTTCATAAGCCAGTGTCCCATTCATCAGGCCCTATCCCCCTTCAAACAGATGAACATCTGAGAGGTGGAAGTCTTTACCTTTGGTTCTGTGCTTAGATTTCATCATTTTGCTAAGGTCTCAAATGTGGTTGTGCTATGACAATGCTACTGATCATTTTCAGTATTTATTGCTACATATTTCTAAAGTTTCAAGGGTATTTACGGACTTTGATAAATAACACAAGAGATATCAAGTAGGAAGAAAGAAATATGCTTGCCTGTAAAAGATTACTGTCCCCAGCAAGCATAATAAAAAGTGAAGAACAGATATTACTGTAGTTTTTATTTTACTTTTGAAGGCCTCTATTATTTTCAGTAGCTTTCAGTTTCACTAAGATTTAAAACAGATTAAAATKAAGATTTTTTTAACATTCATAAGAATACAGTAATAGTGAAGACACCACATTGTGTATGTTACATCCTCCRTTTGACTTACTGTTAGACGAAGGTTTATATTCAACAGAGAAACCATCAGTGAGATATATTGGAATACAGCAGAATTCAACCTAGTTGCAGTGGGTCTGATTCTAAGTGCCTTTAAACAGTTTTTTTTCAGAGTTGTGAACACAATTGCATGATTACAAAATCAAGTCACCCTTGGGTAGCTAGCATGAGTAACTAAGCTTGGAATCTTGCTCAGAAGTACTTAGATTTTCCAGATCTGATGTCATCATGCACTTAACATTTGCACTAATTTTTTTGCATTCATTTTTGCATTTAGAGTTCCTGTTTTTTTAAAGAAAGGCTGGAAAAAAAAAAAGGGGAAAAACACTAAAAGGTGCCCTTAAGAGTGTTTCTTAAGATAAAGTGCTTAAAATGGCTCAGCACTAAGCTCAACCTGAAAGGCTGGATGGCCTACAGCCATCTGAAGATGAATCTGCTTAAAACCATAAGCTATTAAAGAAACCTTAATGCCCCAACAACTCAGAACACGCCTAATAATGTTTACTGTCTTTGCTYTAGGTTAATGGATAAATGAAACAAAAAAGTAACCTGGTGGGCACAGCTAACCATTCCACCTTGAAACATTATTTYACATGGAAGTAAGGAATTCTGCTAACTAGACTTCTGACTAGTTGTATGCATCTCTGCAAGTTTCTCCCCACATTCCCAGGGGTTTGTGTGGACCTGTATGGGTCCAACAGCATTTGCTTAGCAATCCTGGCTGAATTTACTGAAGCCCAAGCAGCAGGGCCCCAGCTGTGCAAGCTGCTGGGTGCAGGGGCTTTCCATGGCCTGGGGAAACTCCTCCCAGAGGCAGCAGTTGAGTTTGGGGTTGTGTGGTTGAGCTACRAGGAGCTGGTGGGTTCTCGGGTGTGTTTACTCAAGTCACGACAAGTGGAGTGTGAGAGATGATGGGGAGAGGCTGCTGATACAGTGGTCGTCGCTTGCAGATTTTTAGCAGATTCACATATTTCACGTGGATTTGCTCTTGTCCTCCAAGTCCTGCACATCAGTGTCTGGTTGCCATCCTGYAATCCCCACAGCACGACTACCTCTTGAGAAGCAGTTTGAAAGAGGACATAAATATCTTTCAGGTATTTCAGCACATAAATCAAGAGGTATTTCAATGGCTGCATTCAAAGCATAAGAAAAAAAGAATGGTTTTCCTCTCTTATAAGGGATTTCTCTTTGAATTTGATCAGCAATTTTAGTTTGGTAGACACTACCATTGGCCTGTCATTGTAGACTTTGYTAGGCAAGGGATCTACTTCCCCATCTGTCTTTTCAAGAGGARGATTTTGTCTGCTCATCCACCTACTGCAAGAAATAGCAACATACTGGAAATGGAGGGCAAAAACATTGAAATATAAAAAAATAAAATGTTCTTTTGGCAGACACCAACTGCAGGAATTTCAGATAAAGAAATTGTTTGAGGAAATGGTAAGTGCATGTAAAAAGTGGCTCCACTGGTATCAAAGTCCAAGCTTAATAATCACAGTGTATTCTATCAAAGAATATATAAATTATTAACTTAAGGCTATGGTTTCCAAGTCATAAGACAAATGGGTGGAAAAGTGTTTACCAACTGTCCCAGAGTGCAGTGATAAAGATACGTTGTGGTTCATGAAAGAAGTTGAAGGGTGGCCATAATCTTTGGGTCCTGAAGGAGTGAAGCTGACACCCTCTCCCTGACAAAATTTCACAGTTATTGTAGTATTTTACTACTCCCCATAGATGGAGCCAGACTCACAAAGTCCAGCTGCACACAACTCACCAGCAATGAGCACAACCGTCCAAATTCGATGTTATATASAGACTTTGGCTCTTGGTCCATTCTTCTGCAGAGTTGAGAGGATAAAGCATTAAAGGATATGTAAATGTAGAGGAACACAGACAACTATCAGCCAAGCAAGAGTAAGAGCACTAGAGGGTAAGAAGTGAGTATTTCCAGGCTTGGGACTTAAAAAAGTTATCAATAACTTTCTGTCAAGAAATCAAAGCTTTCTGCTCACTTCAAAGGCCAAGGAAGGCATCTTATATCTTCTGTCTTCAGAACAGTCCAAAGCAACTCATCTGCTAGTAAAGGACAAAAGTAAATACCAGCACACTGATTTTATTGATCTGGCGATGGCTTTCATTACCTTTGACTGGAAAGTGTCGTGGAGGTGCCTGAGAAAACATACAGAGTTCCCCTTTGCTAGCCTGCCTTTTTACTGTTAGCAAGATATGGACARCAAAGTAGTTAATTTTCCCAAAAGGCCTTCAAATTTAGAGGATCGGTCCTGTTGTCCTACCCCTCAGTGTTCATACTAAATTACAAAAGAAGAATTGAAACACAGAGACTATGTGCCAGCAATATCCTGGTGATGCCTCTGGTTGCGTTTACAATAGTTCCTGGGGGACTGTATGGTTTATCCGTACAACAAGGACTGGTGGCAACCAAACAGTTGAGGGAGTTGAGAAGGATTTCCATGAGTCAGAACATTATTTTGATGGAGTGGTCTACCTGGCAGCTTGCTCTGAAGAAAGAAGAGGTGCTGGCGCCCACTCTGGTTTAGTGCATGATCTAAGGCCTGTCTTTTTCTTTTTTTTTCCTAGCTGATATTCTGTGTTTGAAGTCTACTCTTGAAGGAGTTACGTTCTCCAAGCAAGACAAGCCACTTCCTTCCTAGAAAAGGTGCAGCTGGAGGATTTGGAAAGAGGAGATCCGATCCTGGCGCAAGCTGGGGGCTCCCCAGGGAGGTGCGTAATCCGCCTGGGGAGAGGAAGTGTGTCATTCTCGCATGTTTACTTGGCTTAGATGTCTCTGATGCAGCAGGGAGCACAAGAGGCTTTTCAGATTCCTTTTTGCAGAGCTTTTCTTTCTGATCTCAGCTACTATGTCATCCCCAAAGAGCTGACTCACCCGCCAGGGCTGCAGCCCCAGGGAGCACGGGCAGAGGCTGGGAAAGTTCAGAGTTATTTTCAGCGCCTGAGGGAACTGCACCATGGGGTCCCTCTCGCTGGAAGAGGTGCTGGGCAGGGAACATGCTGTCCAAGAGCGCCCAAGAGGCCCCCTTAGAAACCTGAGGCTGCCGTGACCCCACAGACTTCAAGGCAAGAGGACTGTGAAGGCAGAAAACAGAGCAGAGCAACCACCACCCACCAGGAAAGTCTTTGGTGTTCTGGATGCTACCGGATGACCCGTGCTCTGAGTGTCCCTTCTGGAGAAGGAGGTTGGACTAAATGATCTCTAGAGGTCCCTTCCAACCTCAGCCAGTTTGTGATTCTGTGTGATTCCATSATCTTGCCTCTCACCTTCAGATTATTTTGCTGCATCACGTAGTCCCTGGATCAGGAATTTGGCAGCRCCCAGGCAAATTCACTTCACTCAGGAGTACAAGAAGCTGTTTGGCACAACTAAGAAATACGTCGAGTGTGGCTGGGATTCAGCAGCTTGACTGCAGGCTGCCCTTCTGCCTCAGGTGATGTGTTTACCTGAAATCCAACTACCSTGTCTGGTATTTCCCAAACTCTCCCTCGTCTGGGTAGGGCTTATTAGCGTAACATTTAGCCCTCCGGCCTTAGTGCCAGGATTTACAATTGCAAGAGCAACCATTTTAAACCCGTGATTTAAAATATGTATTAAAAGCAGTGGAAAGAAAAGCTCTGGAGGGAAGTGAAAGTATTCTGATTTGTGCCTGAGAAGAGAGAGATGAATCAGAGAAGGAAAAAAGGAAAGACAGTAATATCTGGGGATCACAGCAGAGGCTTCTCTCAGACAGACCAGATTTTTCTACAAAATAGTAAATACAGGAACCCTAGAAAACAGAGGCAAGAGCTAAGGAAGTAGGACTGAAATTSATCTCTAATGAGAACATCAGGCAGCTCTTTTTCTCTGGCATATTGGAGCTGCTTTCCACTTTTTTCTGCCCCCACTCATAGCAACATTGAAACCGAGCAGATGAAGCCGTGTAAGTTTGTTTCCAGGAAAAAYACCCTTGAGTTGGAGCATTGCCTATCGGACTCCAAAGGTGCTCCCAGCTGCTGACAACACATCTGGAGCAGAGGGCTGGGCCAGCCACCCCCAAGCCAGGGCTTTGCCCATGGAGCCCCTGTGACCTGCAGAACCAACCTGGGTGGTTGGTAAATGCTGGGGACCGATCAGCACCCTCAATGGTGACGTGTTGAGGCTCCATCGGCTTGCAGGGAGCCGTTCTTTAGGGTCGGAGTTAAACGTCGACTTAAAGGGCTCAGTGATAAAGGCCTCTCTGCAGGGCTAGTTTCTCCAGAAATGGGTTTGGTGCCATTATATAACATCAGGAGGCAGCTTTGCCTGAAATACCCTGGGGACTCTCATTTCAAAAAAGGATACTGGAAAAAAGAGATTAATTTTGGAACTGAGTGACAGATATGATTAAAGGAATGGAGAGACTGCTGTGCTGAATCCCCCTGTGACTAGGGAGACATGCAGAAAAGGRAACATAATTAAAAAAAAAAAGGCAGAAATACAAAAGACTATAAAGATGCTCTACTGGTTGTTGCTTTCTCCCATACAGAATGGGGCCTCAGTGCATCTGAAAGGCGATACATTTTAAAATGGAAACGGGCTGTATTTATTACAGAATAAGAAAGGATTAGAATAAAAACAAAAAATATATATAATTAGAGGCTGTTACTTTTATTAGCTCCTTTATGTTTGAGGGACAAAATACCTCTTGCCTGAGGGCACATAATAACTGGCTAAAGCCCAGGATTAGAAATAACTTCTTTTGTGGGCAAATTATCCTATCCTTTTCTTGAACTCTTSCTGGAGGTATCTTTTGCTGCTTTCCACCACAGACAGAATAGTAGCCTGCAGGGGTATTTTTTCTGGATGCTTCTTACTACTGAGACCTGTTAGTAGAGGTTTTCACCTATCCAGGCGTGATGCCAGTTTTTCTGATCCTTCGCCCTTCATCTTGTGCCCATTACCACTGCCTGCATGCACATACATCAAAACATTTAGGCTGTTGCCCCAGCTCAGCTGAGGCTGAAGTGAGCTACACGCATTGCAGTTGCTGTATGTCTGATTTTCTTTATGTGCTGGGCTATCACACTTGTAGCTATCGCTTGATGTGGTAGATACCTATAGCACYTGACCCTTCTATCACACCTAAAAAGATCCTGGACTGCGCTAAAACTGGCCCATTCCCACATGTAGACCGTGCTTTGTGAGACCTGTCACTAATGCCTAGGTCTCTCCATCAAGTTAGTGGCCCAAGACTGGCTGGGATTGATCACACTTTTCTGAGGAACTAAAGACTAAAAATATTCGATACTAAGAGATGTCATATTTTGGGTGCAGATGCCTCAAAGCTAGAGACACTTTAAAAGGTTTTTTATTTTCCATATAAACCCATGCTTTTAAATAACTAAACTAGTCAAATATATAATTAGGTGGAATGACACCCATGGAAGAGAATGTGAAGATTATTCGTGAAACTTTGGAGGATATAAAAGTCAAGGAAGAAGGATTGTTTATGACTGATGCTATGGGTATGATAGCTTGGAGAACTCAAGTGTATTTGAGAAAAGGAAAACTTTGGCTCAATACAGGGAACGAAAGTATCAGCTAAATAAAGCAACCTAAAATAAGTAACTTTACAAAGCCTAAGAAACCAAACAAAACCTTCTCTCCAAGTCATTATTTTGAAAAAGCAAAAGTAATAGATACTACATTAAGTTCTGTATGAGCTTCACTCTTGTTATGAATTTTTATATGGGAGCCACTTAAAAATTACGGTGATGGTGGTTGCCTAAAATGGAATGAGCTGACAATATTCTCCGCTTGTTTTGAATAATCCCTGAAAGGGAGACACTGTGGCCCTTAAAAGCAGTAAATTAAAACTGAACAGAAACCTGGCACATATAGCAAATGACGCATATAAGAATGGCACAATCTTCTGTTGGGCACTGCATGCAGAAGACAAATACATCATGATTTTCCACTTCTAAAATCTGTTGGACTATAAAAAGTACTTCTTCCAGTTATGGAGACAAATCATTTTGCCAACAGCGATTTGCATTCTTAGTGCAGAATTGATCTACTCTTTTTCTTTGTTTGTTTCCTCCTTTCCCCAGTGATCTTTAAGGGCAGGGAGAAGGAGTCTAATCTATATGAGAGTCTGGCATGGATGGGGGATCTGAAACTGAGAAAATGCTGCTACTTTTCACATCTAGGGCACCCTCTCTTCGCTGGGGTGTTTCTGGGCCTTAAGTGCTGTGGTAAAGTCGATTCAATCCAAATGGAGAAAATGTTAAAACTCCAGTTAGGAACAGAAATAGCCATTACATTCATGCACTGTATTGGAAAAAGATAGTAATAGCTAAAGAAAATGTTTAAACGACATTTATAGTGGAAATCTAAAGTCATCTTAACGGTCAAAAATCATTATTTGAAGATCAAGGTTGAGCTTCTAGGCAGACTTTCCATTTTTTGTTAATGATTTCCAAGCAAAGGTTGGAAATATCTGCACAGCTGATCGCTCTGCTTTGGCAGATGGATGTGTAGGACATGGCTTGTCCCTGGGTCAGCTGGACAAGATGCTGTCAAGGGGAGCAGCCTCTTGTGCTTCCAATAGCCACTGGCTCCTGTGGGATCAGGGAAACAAAGCGCCGCTGAGCCGTGTCTGCAGGATTCTAACTGTTGGTATTTTCGGGATGTGACCAAGCCCCAAATCAAATAATTCCACTGTTAGATCACGCTGAAGTGATCTGCTTCTCATTTCTGTGTCACGTAAAAGTTACCGGGCATGCTGGTCAAATCAAACACCCTGCAACGYGCAGAAGCTTTAAACTAAATAAACTCTTCTCCTCCTCTGCTCTTAAAAGAGACAAACAGGCAAGCAACGGATACTTGCTGCTCTGCATTCAAGCTGGAAGGGCTTGGCGTGCGCTCTGGAGATGACGGTTAACGGTTTTAAAACAGCACATTGCAATAGCTGGCAGCAATCCCCACACCGTTCGCTGGCACCAAGCTCGGGCACAGGTCCCGTATGCGCTGGGTGCTGAGGCCCTGCTTGGAGAGCAGCAGCCCATGGGTCCCCTCAGGGCTTTGCCCTCGATGGGGTCGAGGGTGACYGCAGGTTGCTGGTACGTGATGGCAATGCGCCGCATCGGGGCACTCCGTGTTCCCAGCGCTTGCGTTTTGGAGCTCTCAGACATTTTGTGTCAAGGCCAGAGTTCTCAGGATGCTTTCATTCATATGTAGCTATCTGCCAACTGATGTGCCTTTTTTATCTGGGAAAATCCTTGTTTTATTTTTTTTTCTATGAGGAGGACATACAAGGCCTAGGGAACTACCAGCACGTACTGCGGCTGCACGTTTACTTTGGGCAAGGCAACGGCCCAGCACGATCCATCCAGCCTGAGATGGCCCAAATCTGTCTGGGAGCTGCATCTGGGGTTATTTTCTTTTCATCCTCTGCCTGGCCCTAGGCCGGAGCGGCCGCCCTGTCCCAGCCCCAGCCCTTGTCACAGAGCGATGGTGGCCGTGGCATCCCGCTCAGCCTCTGCTCACCAGGACAGCCCTGGGGTGGCACTGCTGCCACGACGATAGCAAGGTCTCTGGGCTGCTTCYACACACGCGGCGCTGAGGAAAGGAGCTGCAGAGCCCCATGAATCAGCAAAGCCTGGAGGCGCCTTTCTGGTTGCACCACCAACCCGGGGTCTTCTCCTCTTTCCCACGCCCCTTCTTCCCCTCTGTTCAGATCCTATTTGTTACCCTCTTTGCTCCAAATTTCTTCTTCTGGTTTTTAATTCCTGTTTTCTGTTCTATCCCCTCTGTCCTACCTCTCTATACTTGAGCAGGAGTCCTGAGGAGGCTCTCTCAGTAGCAGAATAATTATTACTATCAATATAACATATCCTGATAATCATAATAATATGTAATTTRTAGTACATATAGTAAATATGTAATTACTATTATCATAGTAATATGGGCAGAGAGGAACCTCATGAGGTTCAACAAGGACAAGTGCAGGGTCCTGCACCTGGGGAGGAATAACCCSWGGCACCAGTACAGATTAGGGGTTGACCTGCTGGAAAGCAGCTTCACAGAGAGGGACCTGGGAGTCCTGGTTGACACCAAGTTAACCATGAGTCAGCAATGTTTCCTTGTGGCCAAGAAGGCCAATGGGATCCTGGCTGCATCAGGAGGAGTGTTGCCAGCAGGTCAAGGGAGGTGATTCTGCCCCTCTACTCAGCTCTGGCGAGGCCGCACCTGGAGTATTGGGGGCAGTTCTGGGCTCCCCAGTATAAGAGGGACGTGGAGCTTCTCGAGAGGGTCCAGAGAAGGGCAACCAGGATGATTAAGGGAATGGAACATCTCTCGTAYGAAGAGAGGTTGAGTGAGCTGGGCCTGTTTTCTCTGGAGAAGAGAAGGCTCAGAGGGGATATGATTAATATGTATAAGTTCAGGAAGGGAGAATGCAGGGAGGAAGGGGACAAGCTGTTTTCATGGTGGCCAGCGATAGGACAAGGGGTAATGGCCACAAGCTGGAGCACAGGAAGTTCCATCTCTAGGTGAGGAGGAACTTCTTTACTGTTAGGGTAACAGAGCAGTGGAACAGGCTGCCCAGGGAGGTTGTGGAGTCTCCTACTCTGGGGGTCTTCAAAACCCGCCTGGATTCCRCCCTGTGCCACATGCTCTAGGCGTGCCTGCTTGAGCAGGAAGGTTGGACTAGATGACCTTTAGAGGTCCCTTCCAACCTTGAATATTCTGTGATTCTGTAATATGGAATGTATAGTATAGTACAACAGAACAGAATCCTGCACCTGGGAGGAACATGGAATCATTATGGCTGGACAAGACCTTCAAGATCATCAAGTCACGCAGTTTCTGGGAGAAGCTCTGCTCAGCCCAAGGATGGTGCACAGCACAGGGGACACTTTGGGGACACCACTGGCACATGCTGACTGAGAGGCAGCCAGGGAGGTGCTGGTGCTCCGTGTTTTCCCTTAGAGGGTTTTCACCTCAGCAGACGTGYGGCAGAGGACAGCAGGGAGACCAACTTCAAATCCCAAGTCCCTGCTCCAAAGCACCAGCAGTGTTACAATTTCTTGACAGAAAAGGCTGTGGTTTGCTTTTTTACACTAGCAAAGCTCATTTTCCTTAGTCAGGCTCAGAGAAATAGCTGAGTTGTTCAGATGAAACGTTCCACACGCCAAGCAGGCCACAGACAGATACCAGACATGAGATTTCAGGCAAGTTTCTGCCTGAACTATTTGGAAATGTTATCAGCAAMTTTAAGCCAGACTTGATAAGGAAAAGAGCCGGGTAAACTCAGCTATTTTACATTTGTTTTATGGCCTGTGGTTCTTATAATTAGAACCAGACTTTCTGACTGCCAGATCTACAGTGATACAGCTAGGCTTGAAGCCGACATCCCTTCAGAAAGCTCTAGTGCATATTTAGCAAAGCTTTCAGTTTTGTGGCGGAGGCAGCTATGTAAAAGGACAAAGCTAATTTAAAAGGGGATATCCAGTCATTTCGGATGGCTTGTGGTGCAGAGCAAGAACACCTCCATTCCCTGTGTASACCACCTGTATTATTGCTGCTAGTGATGGGTCTGCAACACTGATGGATTARTTATGGGTTCTGTCCTTGCCAGTAATAATGCAGGCAGGGAAGTAGCTGGATGCGGCCATGTCAGGAGCGTTTTGCACAGCAAAAATAAGTGTACATACACATCTTCCCTTGCTGTTTCGACAGGGTACACATAAGGTATCCAAAGAAAATACAGGCACTTTCCCAAACAGGCAAAGTGTTCTTCAATTTGCTAGTTACAGAGCTAGTTCACTAGCAACATCAACAGGGAGAGCCCAAATGTCAGCAGGGTCAGGGTGTCCTAAGCTCTGCTTATTTGTGCTTTGGGATGTGCTGTGAGCTGGGCTAGGCAAGCCATAAATGCTTCCTCTCTTGCTCAGGGCTTTATTTCTGGGCCTCTATGGTATTCTCTGACATAAATCTGAGGCCTTTTGCTCCTGATTCAAGYTCCTTGGTGGTAGTAACTTCCTTATGGAGTCACTGCTTCCCCCCTTACATCTCCAGCCATCCTTTTCTCAGCTACATCTCAGGACATCATCACCTCTCTGGCGCCAGCACGATAGTTTACACAGCCAAGTGTTGGAGCAGATTAGGGATCTATAAAAATAAATAGGAGGAGAACTGGTGTTGCCACAAAAAGCCCTTGATGAAAATAAAGTCCTAGAAGTTCAAACAGTTCTGCCTAGAAGTAATAGATCAGGGATCCCGTGTTCCGGCCTGCATTCCCAAGCAGACCGTGGTGGGAGCCAGGCACAGCACAGTCTGTGGCTGTGCTGGTGTTTCCAGATGTCCTGAAGCGGGGTCAGGGCTGCAGCTGGAAATCTCAGGCAAATGTCACTGTCCAGCCAGATAACAGTTTGTGGGCGGTGGCAAGGGGGAACAAATGCATCAAAGGAAAACCCAGGTGTGTGGCTGTTCCACTTGTTCTCCTGACTAAGCCTGTTCCATACAACTGCACGTGGTGGAAACCTTCAAATGGAAAAAAGAAAGTGTGAGGGGGTCCACCTTTTTTTCTGCTACTCAATAAACAAGTGATCAGAAAAGTGCCCTCCCTCACCTGCATTTTTTCCCCTCTGTGCCAAAGACTGACATCAAGTTGGTTCCCTTGAAAACTTCTGGTGATGGGAGGAAGAGTGGTTGCGTGAGAAACCAGCAATAACAACATTCAAGGGAAATATGAGGAAGGGGAAATGATCTTACCAACATTGCTTCAAGAGACCTATATGTAACCAAGGAGCCTTATGAGCAACTGGAGAAAAGGTCAGTGAAAGAGAATATTTCCAAGAGCGAGAAAGGACAGAGTAACAGGAAAGCATTCAATGCTTGGGATTTCACTGGTAATTCCACTTTGCAAACACAAAACTTTCAGAAGCAGATGGCATTTATGCCATTACATCCTAATAAAAACCACTCTCTCAAATCCCAGCCACAGATCCCAGCTCTAATTGCAGTTCTGCTTTTACGGAGCTCTTGGGCACCCCACCACAGACATAGCTGACAGCTACCCCTGCTTCTCAGCCTCCTGCAGCCTGAGCTCTACTTACTCCAGCAGTGAAAAGGGTTTTTGCAAGTGTATTTTTTAAGCATGCCACTCGATTAAACCACAGTCCTGAAAGAGCTGCCCATGCATGAATGTGGGCTGACCCCAGAGCAAAAACTGTTGCTAAAATAGCCATTGATAGTAAATGCTCCCCACGCTAGAGTTAAGAAGCAAGGGGCAGAGCAGAAGCATGAGGGCAAGCCCTCATGATGAAAAGGAGCAGTAAATTGAGCTTTAAAGCACAACGGGTTTCTCTTACACTTAATCTGGCGCTCGTTCTGGCAGCTCCTGGAGACCCAGACCTTTTATCTGAAGGCCGCAGCCTCTCCCGCAGCTGTGACTCAGCTGGCCCTTGCCTCCATGCCTTGTTTGAGTGGGAACATCTCCAAGAGGCCCTAGTACAGTTCAGCCAGTTCAGCCCCCATTGCCCCAACCATTTCTGGCTTCTCTAGGGACAGCCGGGTCAAGCAAAGCCCAGCAGGAGGTGGTCTGAGTTACTCCTAGTTTAAGAAGGGGAGATACACTCCTCCAGCACTAAATCCTTCTTGTGGCCAGGAAAGCACCTCCAGGCTGTCCTGACTCTCCACTCTGTTCCAACAATAAAAGCTCTTTCTGCCAGATCTCTTCCCTGGGCTGAGTCACTAAAGGCTTCAGTGGGATCAGCCCCTGCTGAAGGGAAGAGCGGTTGTCCTGCAACCAGGCTGTGCAAGTGCGATGAAAGCAGCACCACTTTCTGTGCCCCTGCTCCCTTGCTCGTGGTCTTGCATCCCTCTTGCCCTGGGTTTGCACAGACACTTGATGGGTTACACAGAGAGATGCAAAATAAAGCAGGCAAAACGTGGGAGCCAGGACACGGTGAGATGTTTGCTCACACAAACATGCCAGGACAATTTCCTCAGTGAGTGGCACAAGGGCCACTGGTTTGGCTCCCGTGCCATAGGCTTCCTCTCCCRCCAAGCTCATCTGTGCCATGTCCCCATGGTGCCAAGTGAATTTGAGGCCGAAGGCAAACAAGGCAATGATCTTTGG